GAAGGACATGCTTGGAGGGTAGCTATCTTCTCTTCTTTTCTATTTTTGTAATTAGTAAGTGTCTGTTGAGAGCCAAAACACAGAGTGTGCTATGATGTTAGTGCAGTGCTGGTCACAGTATAGCTTAGCTCCGACCTGAAGCAATCACACTGCAAGCATGCAGATCTGAAAGTCAATATCCATCTTTAGCAAAACTGTCACATTCACAACAACCTTCTACCACTGCTTCTCTGTCCCCCTAGTGTCCAGAGGAAAGTTGAGGGGGAAAGCAGACCCACCAGAACTTTACTGCCAGTTTGCAAAACCAGTCTCTGAGGAGGAATATGTCAAATTAAATGCTTCCCCACATGGAAGAGGCTGGGGCTCTGACTAATGGCTTGCTCCCAGTAAGTTTAATTGCAGAATATACAAGAGGCAGGACCTCTTGCAATGAAAACTGATGTAACTTGTTTATAGTGTCTTGTGGACAGACAGCTGCAGTACAAGTTTTCCCACATGCTCGTCTCTTAGGGAATAGGAGTCATTACTGAAGCACTAGCTGGTGCTTTATGTACGGGAGGGAAATACTGCTTGATTTACTGAGTGCCTGGTGTTTTGCCTGAGCAGAAACATATCAGACTTTTTTTTTTTCTGTCATTTTTTTCTTTATTTTTCTTTTTTTTCCTTTTTTTTTAAAGATACTGAGCTTTCATCATTAACATCTGGCTTGTGTTTTAAGCCAACTGAAATGAGCTGCTGCTTGTAGATTAGCTCCCTTCAAAGTTGCATTTCTTTTTCTCATCCTTGCATTAAACTTGCCCAGCCCCCAGTTTCCTGTAAATTAAATCTGTATTGCATGTGCACTAATTCTCTTCTGTTGAGGCTTTAGTGTGGATTTAACGGTAATTCATTTTCTCTATAGAAACGTAGCACGAGAATGAACATCTTGGGTAGCCAAAGTCCACTCCATCCTTCCACACTGAGTACAGGTAAATTCTGCTGTTTTGTAAGCATAGTATAATAGGCCTCTGTTGGTAAATAAAAGTTGTATTTCATAGACACAGAGATAGAGTGCAGTCATGTAGTGTTAATGCCTCGATGTCAAATACTCTGTTTATGTTTATCGGTAGCTTCTGTGTCATTAACATGCTTACCCATGCAGACATAGTAGAAGGAACTTGTTTTCCTTCGAAGGCGTGCTCAAGCTTTTCTTCAATTTTAATCTTTTGAAACTCAGATTTTATGAAAATTGAGACTCCGTAAATGTGTCCATTTAAAACAACTCAGAAATCAACCCAGAAATCAATTCTTCATTTTAGACAAGTCAGAGTGATCGGTTAATCTTTAAAGAGTAAAAATTAGAATCTTCAAAATAGCATTCATTCCATAACTGAAAAATGTAAAATATGGATGCCTGTAATGTGTGTCCTGAACATCTCTTTGAGATTGTAAGTTTATCAAAATAATAGGAAATTGCGTATTAATATTCTGGACTTCTTAGAGGAAACACAGCTGTTCTCTGTTTCTATTCTGTTGAACAGAATTTAAAAATACCATTTGAAAAACAATAAAACAATAAACATAAAAATATTTGGGGGTCACTCCACCTTTGAAATCACAAGGCGAAGTGCTTTTCCTTATTCGAGAGTGAAAGGGACTAGGTTCTAACTTGTTAGCTCATACGCTGTATTCTAAAGAATTGTTTAGTCCCAACATTTTCAAGAAACTATGAAAAGGCAGTATTGCAAGAGATATCTCTTGTTAACCTAATCATACATCTGCAAATCAGCAAATACATGGAGATAATGCCTGCCTACTTGGTATATTAAGTAGATGCAACAGCTGGTGCATTTTTTTTTCATATTGATTCATTTTTTATATTGATTGATGTTTTATATTCTGTAACAAAACTATACCCACTTTTAAAATATTTAAATAATTAGGGTGCGGAAAAAACTGTTGCACATGTTACTGTTTTTAACCATCCTGTCTTTCCCTCTTTTCCCTCTTGCCTCCAGTTATTCATAGGACACAGCACTGGTTTCACGGCAGAATCTCTAGAGAAGAATCTCACAGGATTATTAAGCAACAAGGGCTTGTAGATGGGTAGGTATTCCTGTTGCTTAGTATTTATGATCTGATGGTAAGCACTCTAGACAAGAGCACAACTTCTGCTGTAAGGGTTTACAGGTTTGTGAGCACTTCTGAGTAAGCTGATTCTTGAGTAGTCCCATTATAACCTGCCTGGATTTCAAAAAGACAGAGTATGTATTTGTAGGAGTGGGTTCTAACTCTTAAAATTTGAAAAACAAAATATTAAGAAGACACTGAAACTTTTTTCTTTTTTCCAACAGAGTTGATCAAGTTTTAGAGAATGTTAGAATTTGAAAATAATTAATTCCTGTAATCTGCATTGAGGACATATTTTTCAGGCAAAGGTGTACCTAGCCATTTGCCCACAAATTTATAATCAGCCATTTGTGCTCTTTTGCATGAATCAGAGCAGTTAATGATGATTTCTCACTATTTATTTCTGTTGTAGAGCTAAGAAATGAAAGTACCTGTTCCAGCGCTCTCTGAAATGTCTGTAGTTGAGATTTAAGTATCTTCTGAGCATCTCTGTTTCCCTTATTTATATGTACTTATGGTTATTGTAGGGAAGTTGCTTAAACTGCATTCAGCCATTCTTGTAGGATGGGAAGAGCATGGTTGCCTTCAGTTCACTAAGCTCGCTGCTGTCAGGGTTAAGGTAGAAACTTCCATGTTGGCTTCTCAGGAGACAGTCAAGTTCAAACCTTTCTTCAGCATTTTCTGATTCAGGAACATGACTAATCTTTGTGAAGTATGAAATATATTAGAGAAATAGAAATTGCTAGTGCATGTACATATTCATCAAGCAGTGGTTTTTTATTGTTTTGGGGTTTTTGCTGGGCTATTGGGAGTCATATGAGAAAAGGTTTTAGCTTAGCAGGTCAAACAGAGAAGAGAAGCCGAGAAAGCAAAGGAGCACTGCTGACTTGTTGGGTTTCTGGTTCTCTCACATTGCAGATCTTCTTTACAATCTTGGGCTCATTTTGACTTGTTGCTTTGGGAATGTAGTGGCCCATCCTTCTTGGAGTTTTCATGAATGTGTTAATACCTTTGAGGCAGTGTTAAATTTGTGCCTAGCCAGCTTACTCACTGTGGAAGGTGAAGATCGGTTAGTTTGGCTGCAGTGAAGTCAGTCAGTAATGGTAAAAGAACCATGTTACCTATGTGCTCTAAGATCTAAGGATCATGGTTTTCAGGACAGAAAAGTCTTGCCTGTGTTTTCCTGCTCTGTGTGTTCTTGAACAAAACAAGGTAGAAAGTTAACAGTCTTCTGATGGCTCATGTAAGATGTTCAGCAATGTATATAAGCAGTGGATACTGCTATCATTTGACTGTTTCTGGAAGCTATTGTTGAGGATGCATCTGTATTTATAGTCACTGTTTGTGCGGACAGCTTGTTGCTTGCCAGACGTTGAGTAAACACGTGCAGGATCAGTTGTGCTGAGCTTTGCTTTGTGCCACCAGTTTACGATACCCTGCTTAATCTGAAATGGCTGGATGAAAGATAATTTAGAGATACCTGCATGAACTGCAGTGTCTACTGCAAGTGGTAAGATCTTTCTCCCTGAGATGGATCCTAAAGTGTAAAGTGTTTGGTCCCTTTTCCGCACATCTGGTCTTGCTGGGACTAAAAAGGAATGTTCAGATACCATGCATGGTTTCCGGCGGTGGCAAGACATGCCTGTCTCCGAGTATTGGACTGACCCGGGTTATGACGGTACATTTTTGTGGTATTGACATTTCTCAATCGGTTCTGAGGAGCTGGAGTGAGTTCTTTCGGGTTCATAAGACTACAAGCAGTTCTTGCAACTCAACCTTGGAAAAGTGTGTTCCTGGCTTAGTGGTTAGCAATTAAGAGGGCTTGAGGCTTGCCCCAATACTGTGCTTGGACATCTCACAAATCCACTAGTGATTAGCACTGGTGAGCCTTAGCCAAGGGTATATTCTTGTTTCCTGTAGCATGGAGAGGTTCTCCTTCCCTAGTTCATAAACGTCAAGGGGAGGAAACATGTTTTGACTAGATTTTTTTCTTCTCTTCTAAGTATGTGTTTTAACCATTTGAGTTAGGACTTCAATTTTGTGAGTCAACTTAAAAGTGACAGTTACATAGTGTATGATGTTGCTGGCTATACTCCTAAAGTACATTCTTTTCCAGTGATGCTGAGGGAAAAATATTGTTTTAGAGGAAAAGCCAGTGTGTGTTTTCCCCATCTTGATAATGTGGATGCTACTTAACTGATAAGTCGTTTTAAGAAAGTATTGTGCTGTTTCTGTGCAATTGGATCCATTTAACATAAACATAATTTTGCTAATGCTGGGTTTCTGATTCAAGATACTGGAGAGTGGGAACAGATTCTCACGTATTACTTTCCCATCTACAGAAATCCAGATTTGCTTTGGAGTTAAATGGGAACATTTTCTTCAGGAGAGTATATATCAGTAATGAAAAGCTCAGTTAGAGAGACCCTTAAAAAAGCCTCATACATACATTCGTAGGGAAGAACTACTGTCACGTATCTTCCACTTCTTGTTTCTTCATCTATTAGTGTTGCATAGCCATGATATGAAAACTGAAAGCAAATTGCCAGTTATGGAATCGCCTGTTAATGCAATTAAAGAAGAGTTAGGCAATAGAACAAAATGACTTAGTAGTTCTGATTATTTATGAAGAAATGGATTGTGGTATTCAGTGTGTACTTTAAAATGTTCTCTCCTAGACTATTTCTTCTCCGGGACAGCCAAAGCAATCCAAAGGCATTTGTACTTACGCTGTGCCATCATCAAAAAATAAAGCATTTTCAAATCTTGCCGGTAAGTAGATTATTTTTGATACTGATCACAAAAAAAGAAATTTTAAATTATAAAGCTTTGCCAACATCTGAAGAGACCTCGTATTAATTACTGATGTAATTAACAGGGATGTTTCCATTAGCAAGTATATTAGCAAGCATTCTTTAGAATTGTCAAATGTCTGATTAAAATTCTTTGTTAACATAGCCTGGAAGAGTAGCGTAAGTCACTTAGGTATAGAAGTAATGCACAGAACTTGTTCTCTGTGACTGACAGCAACAACAGTGGCAGTTGTCTCCCTATCATGTAGGCAAACATAGAATAACTTAGGGAAACTTTTAAAAGTTTTATTCTGGAGGTTATCCAATAATGTTGAGCTTAAAATAATGTTACTCTGAGATGTTGAGAATCTATTTGATTTTTATCTTGATCAAAAAGAGCATCAGAAGTTTAAGATCATGTAGACCTCTTTATTGGTCCAAACCCTCTTCTTTTGCTTCGCCTGCCAATTTTACAAACAGCTAACAAACATTTTGGGGGTATTTTTGTTTTATATAATGAAGACCAGTGCTGTCTCTACAACTTTCAGTTACTCTGCCCACAAGTTTTCACTTTCATAAACAAACATTTCAGGTTGGATTAACGTATGTTCTTTTCTAGTGCTGTGCATGGTTTCATGAAGATCTCTGGGCAGTAGGTTGTTTGGGCAGTGCCCATCATTTATCTTACGTCACATACTTGTACTCTTTATGTTTTGCTGCACTTGCATCTCTTCAAGTGCAGTCTAACTTGAAAAGGATGTTTTGTTTCCCCAGTGTGAAGATGATGGACAGATATTTTTCAGCCTGGATGATGGGAACACCAAATTCAGTGATCTAATCCAGCTTGTTGAATTCTATCAACTAAACAAAGGAGTCTTGCCCTGCAAACTCAAACACCACTGCATCCGAGTGGCCTTATGACCTCAAATCTGACTCTCACTGAAGACTGGATTTGCTAGAAGAGTAATTGTAAGAGAACGTTGACACTGGGGAATTGGCAGATTTGTAAGTTGGTAAAAATAAATAAAAATATTATGCACCTTGGGACTCTGAAAGGGATGGATTCGACAGGTGCCAACAGACCAAGATTGCTGGTTTGTCTAACACCTAAGAGTGATTGCTGCTGAGTGTCCCAGCATCCCAAAAATGGGGGGAGGGTATGTAAAACCATGAGTAAATTTGAAACAAAACTGGAAACTATCTTGGCTGGGCCACTTAACAGGAACAAGTGTGAAGAAAAATCTTTGAAAAGAACTCTTGCCCTGGAATAATCTTGACAATTAAGACTAGTGTGTTTACTTTTTGTATTGATCACTTTTTTTGCACTCCTACTTTGTTTCGGATATTGTATGCAGCCTATATTAGGAGCTGATGTGGCTTTTAAAATTCATGCAGGAGTTGGGTATTAATCTGCACCTAAAATGTATGGAATGCTTCAGCCTAAAAGGATCTAGAAGAAAATCAAGAAGTGTGTGTGTGTGTGCGCGCGCGCGTGTCTCAAAACTTCTCTGGAGACCTGAGGTTCGATGATCTGCAGATGTCTTTGAAGAAGCAATGAGGATACAATTCTAAAAGAACATACCACCATATATGTACTCTGTTGACTTGTAGCATTATGGCTGTAGTAAGTTGATGGCATATTAGTGGCATCCAGTCATGCAAAGACTGTATCAGATTCTATGCACAAATTTTTATTATTGGAGTGGTGGTTTGTTTTTTACAGCCTTTTGACTGTTTTCCTGAGGAAACTTACTGTTACTAAATAGAATAGGACTGAATGACTACACTTGTATTTGAAACCACCATTTTTTGTGAGAAGATTCTTCTGCAGGTAGTCTTAGTATGACAGAATAATTAAAAAAAAAAAAAAAAAAGAAACAGTGTTTTTAGCTTTATAGCTCCTTGAATTTTCATACTGTTTCAAAGAGCTCTTTCCATATAATAAAGCTACAGTGACACAAAGCTCTCCTGGGGAATAGGGCATAAAAAGAACTGTACCCCTTCTGCTTTCTGTAGGGCCATGAAAGTTTACATGGTGAGAAAGAACATATTGGGAATAGAAGCATATTTGATTGTGGACTAGCTGCTGGCAATATCATCTGTCGAGGTAACTGGGGATCTCTGTGTCATACACGCTAAAGCACGCCAGTACCTATGGCAGACAAGCATGTATCCTGCTCTGGTGCTGGCTTGTCATCAGAACTACTTTATTGTTAATGTTTAAATCAATTCTTTAATGTTTACACAATAACTCTTTCTGATGATAAATCAGTCTTAAAGTTAGACGAGTCCCACCTTGATCCTCCAATTGCAAATATCATTCTTTCAGCAAGGCGGTTGGTGCAGGAACTGTTACTGAATTAACTTCATGCAGTTAGCCACAGTGAGAAGTATTCCACCCTGGGAACTTGCAGAGCGTAGTGCAGAACAGAGCGTTCTTAAGATGGTAAATGACTTACACAGGCTAGTTCATCCTTACTAATACTTGCCACTGGGTTTGAAATGCTAGCCGTCTGAAAGGGTAAAGAAGGAAAACCAATCCTACACCTTTAGGTCTTCATGTAGTGTTGAGAATAGCTTAAGACAAACCATAACCTGCCTGAGTCGTCCATATCAGCTTATAACTATGTCAATGGTATAGAAACACTGTATTTTAGTTTACAGAACACATTTAGTATTTTTTTTTCCATTTAATGTCTAGATATTAAAAATGAAGAAACTTGATTTTGTTTTTAGAGGAAGCCTTTTTTGTTTTCTTTTTTTTTAATTGTACATAGTGAAATGAGTGTTCCTGCTTTCTAGACAATGTATTTTAAAACCTTGAAATTAAGCTAACTTAAGTCTGACTTCACTTTGCATGCTTCTATTTGGCCCCTATTAGGAGAAAAAAGATACTTGTATTGACTACATTACCAGTTTAATAAGACCATTTATGCTGTAGTTTTAAGTTTTTCTGTTTACATAGCTTAGTGACAACCATGCATTTTTCCCAATAGGCGGATAGTATTTGCAGTGTTTCATATTTATAAAAAAAACCTTGCATCTTATTTAAATTGAGAATAAAAGTTTGACTATGAATCATGATTTTTGTATGTAGATGGTTGACTTAGTATTTTGTACTTTTCCCAGCTAAAGTGAGCTATTTTGAGAAAGTGACCACCTTCAAAGTGGCAACAATCTTACTTAAGCAGATCACTGCTTTGTCTTCTTTCTGCTGGAAAACAGTCAATACCACCTTAGTTTTCCAACAGATTCAGCTGGCTGCCAGCTCAGAATACCAAGGACTGAAGGACATTTGACTCTTATTTTTGTATTTAAATGACATGAATGTAAAGGGGATGCTCAGGGTTGTTTTGGAGCCTGTTGAATTTTTATCTTTTTGCCTGTGATTTTATTTTCTAAATAAATACTTCATGTAGCAATCTTGAATATGTTGAGAAGGAAAATGCCAAACCATTTTGGTAATGAGGTTACTAGTTAAGTTATGTTATGATAGGTGTTAAAGTACAAAAAACTTTTTATTTGTTAATTAATCTTGAAGAAACACGTGCCTCAGTTTAGATGTTTTGTCTTATCTTTTCTGCACTAAATACCTGACAGTTTGACCAATCAATGCACCTTTCCAGTGGCAAGACTTGCTTATCGTAAATTATATTGTCACAATGCAAGATTTAGTGACTGTAAAATGGAATAAAGTTTAAAGTTTCAGGGAATGCAAAAGGTATTAACTTAAGAGACAAAACCTTTATTCAATATGCTTTGCTTCATACTGTAAATAGCTTTTTGGCTTGTGAACCTAATTGTAATCTTTCAGGTATTTTTGTACAAATAAGGGACTGATATTCTGTTTCTTGTAATTAGAAATAAACGTTAATACAATGCTATTCATTTTATATTGGAATGAATGTCTTCTTTTGGATGTATCTGTACACCATGTATCTCTTGCCTTAATTCTGGGTTATTTGGGATGGGTCATATTAAACAGCCTTTAAGAAGAGTTAAGAAGAAAACAGAATCCCCAAGATAACTTTATTCTGGCTGTTCTGTCTTATGATTCCTGTTAGGACAGACCATCCTTTATTTAAAAAAGAACTTCTTCACCCCTTTTGTTTGAGGAAAATTATTGGGGATATTCTGCTGTGATATTTACAATATTCATTTGGGGAAGGTTGCTAGAATCAATCAGGAAATATGCCATGAGCATCTTTTGGGTCATAAAACAAAGCTGTAACTCACTGAAAATGTACTCTGCATACAGCACTGTATTGGCCTGATAGCTGTTGGATCAGAAAATGTTTCAATAGTACTTTCAGAAAGCAAGTATTTACCCCTGTAATCCTTGTATTCGAGTGCTGCATCAGCATTTGGAGGAAAAGCACATCTGCACAAAATATGTTTTTGCTTAAAAAAGCCATTTGTGGTGGCGGGGGCGGGGGGAGATTGGTGGTTCTTCTGGTAGGTAGAATAATAGAAGGTTGGACATGTTTCGCTTTTTTGTTGGATGCAATCCTTTCCTGTTTCTGCCTTGCTAAT